AGAGAGAGAGAGAGAGAGAGAGAGAGAGAGAATCCCAAGCAGGCTCAGTGCTGTCAGCGCAGAGCCCGATGCAGGGCTCCAACTCGCGAAACCACGAGATCATGACCTGAGCCAAAACCAGGAGTCGGATGCTTAACCAACCAAGCCACCCAGGTGCCCCAGAAATCTTTCTAAACCGAGAACACTCCCTACCTTAGGAACCAAGATAGTTTCGGAGCAGGAAGATGGGCTCTGTTACTTCTAGGGAATGCCTTCGTGCCAGAAATCATGATGGTCCTCTTAGGATCATGACTGTTGTTACAACATTGCATTTGCTTATGGTAGTTTTTGGTTTCAAAACATTTACTAGCCTCTCTGGTTAGATTTAATTAGGCTCCTGCAGACTTTGGAGTTTTGCATTAGGTGCTGTGGAGGAAACAGAAAAACACATAGAGCGTGTTCTTGGGAATTGGGGAGGGAAAAACCAAAGGGAAAGGAGCAGAAGCAGCATGCAAGCGAATGCAGAGCATTAGGACGTGCCTGAGCTGTTAGCACCAAAAGGATTCTGAACAGAAGATTGATCTGGGTCAGATGCAGCCAATTAGGGGGCGTGTGCTTGAACGGATTCCTTTGGGTTGTTGATTTCGGGGACTGGCTGGCACCCGAGGAGCTGGGTCCCTCTTGCTCCGGTTCACGGTGACCCTCTGAGCCGCCCTTGCCCTTGTGGGAGCAGGGAGGCTTTCCTTCAGATCTCTCCTGTGCGTTCAAGGCCTGCCACCGTCTGTGCTTCGTGATCCGATCCCTCAGGCCCTCAAGTCCGGGCTGGACTTTTTTTTCCGCCCGCCCTTGTTCCCAAGCGCAAACTGCCTCAGACTCGGGATGTTCTTTCCCTGTGGAAGTCTTGCCCACCTTTTACAAGGGCCGGCTCTTCCCTGGAGTCCTTTCTGGTCTCCCAAACTGGAACTGATCTGTGCTCTGTGCTCCTCGTAGGACTCTGTCCATGGTGTCTAACTGAATGGCATTTTCCCTCGAGTTGTAGTTATCCACGGTCGTGTCTTTCTTTCTGCCACTTCGGACCCTAAGGATTCTGTGTTTTCACCGTGGCATCGTACCATCTGGTCCGTGGTGAACATTAAACGCACATTTGTCAGGTTGAATTGCCTCCGCCCCTTCCCCTCGAGAACTCTTTATTTATTTATTTTGAGGGAGAGAGAGAGAGAGAGAGAGAGAGAGAGAGGAGTGTGAGTGAGTGCAAGTGGGGAAGGGGCAGAGAGAGAAAGAGAGAGAGAGAATCCCAAGCAGGCTCCGCACCACCAGTGCAGAGCCCGATGCGGGGCTCGAACTCATGAACCGTGAGATCGCGACCTGAGCCGAAGTCGGACCCTCGACCGGCTGAGCCGCCCAGGCGCCCCTCCCCTCGAGGACTCTTTGGGTTGGCCGTCACTCTACAGTCCGGCTTGTGCAGGGGCTAAATAGGGTGCCACCCCTGCTCCCCCAGGCTGTTTCCTGCCGTGCCCCACAGTGAGTCTGCCGGCCCCACTGGCTGCACGGTCCTCTGAGCTGCCCTGTCACCTGGCCTCGTGTCAAGGAGAAGCTCATCTTCCTAGATGGGTGTGACTTCAGGGATTTTCCTGGGAAGACATGCCCCGTAGCTGCTCAGAGGATGGAGGGGTAGTAGAAAAAGTCCTGTCTGGTCCAGCAGGTCTGAAGAGCAGGACTTCTGTGTCCCCGCTGCCGGTAGCCACCGTCCGATTGTGACCGAGTGACCTGCCAGAGAGGGAGAATGGCCAAGTCAGCTGAGAGAAAAGAAAGGAAGGCTTGACTCGCGCCGTTACCTGGTTAAAGGAAAGCAGTCTTTGGCTCTGTCCCAGCCAGTGCTGCACCCCTTCCTTCCCTGAGCCTTGCTTGGCAAGCACCGGCATCTCCTGGCCCGGGGATGGCGAGGAAGCCGCACGGAGGCCCCACAGGCCCCCAGCACCGCACGCGCTGTGAGAAGCGGGGCTGTGGGTGGCCCTGGCCAGGTCTGCTCTGAACTTGCCTTTGTTTTGTTTTTTTTTTTTCTTCTTGCAGTACATCTTTGCAGATGCTTATGCCCAGTACCTCTGGATCACGTTTGACTTCTGCAACACCCTCCAAGGCTTTTCCATCCCATTCCGGGCGGCCGACCTCCTGCTGCATAGCAAGGCCTCCAACCTTCTCCTGGGCTTTGACAGGTCTCACCCCAACAAGCAGGTAAGGGAGCTTCTGGAACATAGTCAGGTGGGGCTTCTCGAGTTTTCTGCTCTGTCCGTGTGGATCGTGTGGCCTCTGAGTGACCTCCCCCGGCCCCTCCCTCCCTCCTCCCCCAAGCTTAGCCTTTGTAGCTATTATTTCACTTCCCATGGCTAAGGAAAACTAGATCTCCCTGGCACTTTCAGAATGCATCCCGGCCAGGGGGTGACGCCAAGCACTTGGCAGGCCCTGTTAAACATCGTGCCTTTCTTGGTGTAGATGCACCTTTGTGGGTTTTGGGGGTAAATCGAAGCTCTAGAAATTAACCAGAGAGAGCCAGCTAAAGAAGGGTGGACTCTGAGCTCTGCTGGGACCCCTTAGTGAATTTCTGTTCCACCTTTCCCATCTTCTACTGTAAACACACTGATTTTGTACCATTTAATTAAAATGACCATTAAATTTAAAATTTTTCTTCTTTGTGCGTGTGCGTGCATATGCATATGCATATGCAAATATAAATGTGTGTGGTTTTTCCTCCTTGAACCTGGATTTGAAGGAAAGCAAGATGGGGAGAGAGCCCCTGTAGGATTTATATCTCAAGGTTGAAACTTGCCAAATCGGCAGCATTGGTCTGGTCTAATCCTGTGAAGCCTGTAGACCCTGTGGGTTTGGATTAATGATGACTTTTGAATGGCTTTGCTCAGAGGAACCTTGGAACCTTTCTCTTTCTTTGCTGGTTGTTTAACGAAAACACGATCTGTTTACACTTACTTGCCTTAGGGAGTAACCTAAGTAAGGCTGGGTCAGTTTACCAGTATAGGTGGATAATTGTTTTTTTGTGGTCCCCTGCTGCTGCTGCTGCTGCTTTTTCTTCTTCTTTTTTTAAGTTTATTTATTTATTTTGAGAAAGAGAGAGAGAATCCCAAGCAGGTTCTGCTCTGCTGGCACGATCCGTGAGATCGTGACCAGAGCTGAGATCAAGAGTCGGATGCATATCCGATGGAGCCACCCAGGCGCCCCTGCTTCATAATACATGGTCACCAGGGCCAGAGGGGCTCAGGTTCGGTGTTTGGAAGTTCACGGGCTTTGGCAAAGATCAAGATCGGCAAGTTAATTACTCATGGCCATATCCTTTGTATTCAAGGTGTTTCCCTTTGGTGCTCTTTGCCTCTGTGCCTAGCCAGTGTTCTCTCTGTTCTCCTTTAGTCACCATGACCCCTTATGGTTTTCTTTGTTTGTTTCTATGAATATAACTTGTTGTCAGATTGGCTTACATACAACACCCAGTGCTCATCCTAACAAGTGCCCTCCTCACTGCCCATCACCCACTTTCCCCTCTCCGCCCCCCATTAACCCTCAGTTCTCTGTATTTAAGAATCTTGTGGTTTTCCTCCCTCTCTCTCTCTTTGTAACTATTTTTTCCCCCTTCCCTTCCCCTATGGTCTTCTGTTAAGTTTCTCAAGATCCGCATATGAGTGAAAACCTATGATATTTGTCCCCTGCCTGACTTATTTTACTCAGCATAATACCTTCCAGTTCCATCCATGTTGCTGCAAATGGCATGATTTCATTCTTTCTCATTGCCAAGTAGTATTCCATCGTATATATAAGCCACAACTTCTTTATCCATTCATCACTTGATGGACATTTAGGCTCTTTCCATCATTTGGCTATTGTTGAAAGTGCTGCTATAAACATTGGGGTACAAGTGCCCCTATGCATCAGCACTCCCGTATCTCTTGGGTAAATTCCTAGCAGTGCTATTGCTGGGTCATAGGGTAGATCTATTTTTAATTTTTTGAGGAACCTCCACACTGTTTTCCAGTTTGCATTCCCACCGACAGTGCAAGAGGGTTCCCATTTCTCCACATCCTCTCCAGCATCTAGAGTCTCCTGATTTGTTCATTTTAGCCCTTATGGGTTTTTAAGGACACGGTTTCCTAAGCGGGAAGAATGGAGTGTAATCCTTTTGTTTTTACTCTGCCTGAGGGCTAGTCTTGAGTAAACTGTAATTTCTGATGATCTGTAAATGGAAGATAAGCCCCAGTCATTTTTTTCTTGTAGTTCTTGAGGTCTTAGTAACTATGGGGAGGAACTTCCCTCCCTGCCCTTGTTTGTATTTGGAGTAATCGAGCTGGCCCTGGTAATCTCTGTCCCTGTCTTCACAGCCAAAGTGTTATTTAAGGTGGGGATTGAGGGCCAGGCCATTCAAGTGGTGGGTGCTGCTTGGATCCTGATTCCTTCTTGTCCTTTTGGTCTTTACAGCTGTGGAAGTCGGATGATTTTGGCCAGACCTGGATCCTGATTCAGGAACACGTGAAATCCTTTTCTTGGTAAGTTGTCCATCGAAGGAGTTAGAATTACATAATCACCTTTTTTGAGTTCTGGCTCCTTCATGGAGGACACACCTACCCTCACCTGAAATGCAAAGCCTGTGGTTCAGAAAATGCACGCTCCAGACCTGGGAATTAGAGGTACCAGTATAATACACCCAGTGTGGGAGGTGGTGGGGGATGAGAAAGGAAGGCTATTTGTGAGAAAAGTGGCAGAGCTTTTGCGTTTTTCAATCCATCAGGGGACCCAGGGGAATCTCCAAGCACTTGCATGGATTAGAATTTCTAACGACCTTCACTCTTCGAGCATGATAACAGAAGTGTGGATTTTTCTGTATAGAAAATTCATTCACTTGTTCATTCATAACTTTTTTTTTTTTTTTTTTTTTTTTTTTTGGCGTTTGCTGAATATAAAACATGCTAGATGCTTTAGGGTAGATGTTGAATAATTTATGGCCAGAGTTACTAAGGAGACCGCAGCTTAGGAGGTAAGAAAAGACATTTTGTGCACAGAACACGTTTGGAAAGAAGCACAGAAGTCATGGACGTAGCAGGAGAAGCCAGAGGAGGGACACAGTTCTTTCCAGATGGGAAGGCCACAGCTCCATAGAAAAGCTTGCTGTTGAGTGAGGATGTGTGCGGCAGGCTGGAGGTCGCCGGAGGGCGTGGAGGTGTGCGGGCTGGGATTCCAGGCAGGAACAGAATGGCCCGAGGCAGAGATGAGACACTGTGGTCTCGGGTGGAGAGCACCGAGTCTGACTTTTGGACCGTATGTTGGGGGTGAAGTTTGGGGGAAGGGATGTGGGTATCCGAATCTGCAGTGCTTGGTAAAGGAACCTGGACTGAATTCTGAAAGCATCGCGGAGCCATTGTAGGGTTTTGGGAAGGGAGAGTGAAGTCAACAGAGCCGCCCTTCAAGAAGTACAGTTGTTTCTAGTCCTACTTGTCCCTGGTCTTTCACAGTTGCAGGATGCGGGACGCAGCCTTGAATACATGGATTTGTCCCCGCGTGGGCGAATGTGCAGAAAAGGTTCCCAGGGAAGGATGTGCTGGGTCAGTGGGTCACTCCACCGGTTCAAAGTTGATTCTTCCCAGATAGATACTTGACCTTCACTGCCCCCAGTCAGCTACTCCTGTAATCTTCCCCATTTCACTTTCTAGTTGGACAGGGCAAGAACTTTGAGTCGTCGCTGATTTCATGTGTGTTTCACGTGTCACATCCCACCTACCAGGAAATCCTGTCGTCCCTTCCTTCGGTTTATATCCAGGATCTACTGTGTGGCTGCTACTTTAATCCGAGCCACCACTGTCACTCATCAGTTGTCCACCTGGTCTTTCTGCTGCCACTCCTGTCCTTCTGCAGTTAATTCTCAGTACATGGCCTGGTTGGTCTTCCTAAAAACAGGTCTGATCTTGTTCCTCTCTCTGCGTTGAACCTTTTAATATGCACCAACGTTTCTCTCAGGTTAGTACCAAGTACGTTCCTACCACAGGGCCTTTGCACTTACTTTCCTCCCTGCCGAGACAGCTCTTATTCAAGATAAACGTATTGCTTACTCCCTTACTTCATTCAAGTCTGTTCACATAACCCTTTCTAAATGAGGCCTATCTTTTTTTTTTTTTTTTAAATTTTTTTTCAATGTTTTTATTTATTTTTGGGACAGAGAGAGACAGAGCATGAACGGGGGAGGGGCAGAGAGAAAGGGAGACACAGAATCGGAAACAGGCTCCAGGCTCTGAGCCATCAGCCCAGAGCCTGACGCGGGGCTCGAACTCACGGACCGTGAGATCGTGACCTGGCTGAAGTCGGACGCTTAACCGACTGCGCCACCCAGGCGCCCCTAAATGAGGCCTATCTTAAGGATCCTACTAAAACTGCACCTCCTCTCCTGTCATTGTCTGTACCCTGCTCTATTCTTTTCTTGCGTAGCATTTACCAAGATTTTTAGGCTTATCATTTGTCTTTCTCTCAATAGAAAAAAAGCTCCACAAGGGCAGAGGCTTTGGTCAGTTTTGTGGACTGCTATATCCCTAGTGAATAAAGCATTGAGATTGTGACTTTGGTAGAGATTGCCAGATCTTCTATAGAGAGTACCGCATTTTGCTCTCATCTCAACCACATAGAATGGTGCCTCTCTCCACAGCCAGTATGTTAGGTAAGACATGCTTACCCTTAGTTTGCATTTTATTGTGAATGAGTTTGAACATCTTTTAACCTGGTCAAGAGTCATTTTTCTTTCTTTTTTTGATGACGGCGTGTCTGTTCACGCCCTTTGCTCTTTTTCTATTGATCGGTTAGTCTTTTTATTGATTTCCAGGTGCTCTTTACATATTTAAGGTTAGTCTTGTGAAATGACATATCACACATGTATGTTCATTTGTATTTATAATTCTCGGTTTATCATTTGTCTTTTGATCTCTCCATGTAGCGTTAGTTATCACTAAACGCAGAGTGGCACATACTGTTTGTGCTTCCGTTAGCTCTTTATTTGAAGAGGAATGTCTTCGAGTTGGTACTGCTTCCTTGGCGAAGGCAGTCAGTCAAGACGGAAGGAGGGGTCTCCCAGCTGAGTATCTTCAGGCGCCCCTGGACTTCCTTTTCAAAGAGGGCCGCTGTTTCTGGTCCTTTCGTTACTTTCCTTGGGCAGCGGTTGTGGCGTCTCAGCGAACTTGTAACCACAATCTTATCCAAGTATAACCTCTACCCCAGGAATACCACTAGAGCTTTCTTTTGCCTTCTTTGAGTTTTATTTTTATTTATTTATTTAGGTTTATTTACTTATTTTGAGAGGGAGAGAGAGCGAGTGAGCAGGGCAGAGATAGAGGGAGAGAGAAAAAATCCCAAGCAGGCTCCACACTGTCAGCATGGTGCCCGATGTGGGGCTCGAACTCACAAACTGTGAGATCATGACCTGAGCCGAAATTGAGAGTCGGACACTTAACTCACTGAGCCACCCAGGCGCCCCTGCTTTGCTTGAGTTTTAAAGGGACGCATTGCCCTTTGATCTGTTTAGGTAACCGTATATCAAGAGGGCAAACCAGCAGGATGACCAAATAAAGGGACATCACGCTTGGGAATTTGTATGTTGTACCTTTTGCCTCCGTGCAGATACGCAGATACCTTAGGGGAAAGGACCGGCTTATCTTATTTTAGATAATCACACGTCTGGTGTCAGGGCATTTCAGGCTATTTGGAGGATTTCCCCCTAGGATTTCCCATAATATGTGAGAGCGTAATCTGACCTCTCTGCGAATAATGGCACAGACATTTGTTCAATAACGCATGGCAGCCTGGGAGCAGCAAGAGTCAGGAAGACCAATGAGCTGTGTAAGCCAGAGCTGGAGACGGGCAAGACGGGACAGTGGGAGGGCTATGGGGGAGGGACTCAGAGGTTGCCGGTAGAGCATCACGAACGGGTGTTCCGTGAGGCCGGGTGAGGCCAGGTGACCGCGCTCACAGATGGGAGCAAGGCTCTGCATTCTCATTCCAGTGAGGGCAAAGAGAACCAGAAGTAGCGGAAGGCAAAGGGGAGCGGAAGCTTGTCGGTGGCCTGGCTTTCGGAAACGGGAGGTCCGAGTATGGATTGTGAAAGAGAATTGGGAGAAGGGTCCCGGCTCTTTCTATCTCTGGATACTGCCTGCTGCTTTTGTTTAGGAAAGAATAATAGAGGTGAGCTCTGTCTCAAAATAATCTGAGTCAAGGTCCCTTCCTCTCTGCCTTTTTAAAAATATCTAGCAGCTTTGTTTTAATTTGCATATCCTCTAGGGTAGAGGAAGTACTTTAATCAGTACTTCTAATTGTGGAAAAGCAGAGAACATGCCACAGCACCCCCACACATACGCACCCGGAGCAGAGCGTCTGATGATCCCACATTGGGACCAAGGCTGCTGGCTTCTCCAGTGCCCTGCTGAGACTCTGGATTGTGGGGCCAAAGTCAAGTCTTCTGTTTTCTCTCTTGCTTATCTCCTCCTTCCTCCCTTCCTCCTTTCCTCCTCCCTGCTTGCTTGCTTGCTTGCTTGCTTGCTTTTTCTTTTTTTTAACGTTTATTTATTTTTGAGACAGAGAGAGACAGAGCATGAACGGGGGAGGGGCAGAGAGAGAGGGAGACACAGAATCGGAAACAGGCTCCAGGCTCTGAGCAGTCAGCACAGAGCCCGACGCGGGGCTCGAACCCACGGACAGTGAGATCGTGACCTGAGCCGAAGTCGGACGCTTAACCGACTGAGCCACCCAGGTGCCCCTCTTTCTTTCTTTCTTGGAACACATACTCTTGACAGTTCATCTCTGAAGGAAGTCTATGTCAGAGACTTCATTATCCTGAGAGCCATTGTGAATATGGCCCTGTGCAAAGACAGGTACAGAAGCGAGTCCTGCCTTTCCTTGGCCATCACTGCATCCTCCCTGTGAAGCTCTCGTCCCGGTTCTTCTAGTTATTTCCCCCACATGTTGAATGGTCTGCCTGGCCTGGGGTCTTGGGAGAGTTAGGAAACCTGGGGCAGATTCATCGTCCTTCCAGCTGTTGTTTGGGGCCTTATTTGGGGTGGGGGGGGGACCCCGGTTCAGAGATTCTTCTCGAGGGAGTTTGATCTAGTCAGCGTTACAGTTTTTAAATAGCCTTTGTACTGTGGTCCACAGGTTGCATGCAGCAAGGTTCAGGTCAGCTGGGAGCCCTGTAGGACAAAAAGAAATCTAAGACGTGGCCTTTAAAGCATCTGTACTTTCTCTAGGAGGCTCAGATACGTTATGGTGAACAATAGATTACAGTGAATAAAAGGCACCACTGTGAGTAAGAAGCACCACTGTGTCAAGTCACGAGAGTGATTCCAAAATCCACCCACCCAAAGCAGCTTTGTACCTTTGTTTGAAACTCAGATAAAATACATATGAAAGGCTTCAAATTGAACACTGCGCAGATACATTGCCTGGGTTGGGAGAAGGGTGGAGAGCTTTGGCGGGGAGGGCTTCCTGGAAGAGGTGCCTTGAACTTGACCTCAGAAGATGAATAGGATTTCAAAGTGCAGATCAGAGTGCATGCAGGGAGCATCCCTGCAGAGGGGTGCTCTGTTGACAGAGCACGGGGAGTGGGGTAGCAATGAGCTCTGTGTTTCTGAAGGACCTCGGCGAGATCAGTACGTGTGGGAAAGAGTTTGTGAAGGACCCTCACGGAACGTGACTTTGCACTGGTTGGATGATTCCCGATTGCATGGACAGGTGACAACAGCACAGGATGGACAGAAACAGAAAGGGCAGGGTCCATTAGCAAGGCTAGACTCACTGGTTCCTCATGTGGTTTCTTCTAGAGCTGTTCTTCTGAGCACGTACCGTCCTGGGGACACACAGTCTTTCATTCTCTGGGGTTCATAACTTGGGGCCAGAAACCCCCTGACAGCCTCAAGCCGTCCATTGCTTATTGATTCCGAAATAGCCCGCCTTTTACTTTTTCTTGTTTTCATTCTTCTCAAGCATGGCCAAGGCTTGCCTGGAACCAAACCCAGGGCGCCTTAAAGAGAGCAGTGAAAAACTTGACAAAAGAGTATCCTGGGTAGACCCCACTTTCATGCCCTCCAACTCCCGTTGGCTGTCTGCACAGAAGAACCTCCATTTCTCCAATGGGGATGGTAGCAACTGCTCTTTTTCCTCTAGGGGTGTTGATCCCTATGACAAGCCGAACACCATCTACGTCGAGCGGCACGAGCCCTCTGGCTACTCCACGGTGTTCCGAAGTACAGACTTCTTCCAGTCCCGGGAGAACCAGGAAGTGATCCTGGAGGAAGTGAGAGACTTTCAGCTCCGGGACAAGTACATGTTTGCTACCAAGGTGGTGGTAAGTTGAAGGCACTAAGGAATAAAGTCCCTTTGAGTTTCCTTTCTGAGGTTTGGCATGCTGTGATCCAGCAGGTGAGTTTACGCAAGCAGGGACTGGATTGGGGCGCCCACGGGAGCTCGACTGAGGGGCACTGGACGTAGATGAACCTTCCCGTGGGGCTTGGACGGTCCCGGGAGGTTGGAGGAGGTGGAGACACTTAGACAACCACTCAGGGTGTCTGTGGGACCTTGGAATTTGTCTCCTGGTAGCAAAGCCTCCTTGTGAAACACGTGCTTCTTTGATGGGGCTCCTGGGTGGCTCAGTCGGTTAAGCATCCGACTTAGGCTCAGGTCATGATCTCGCGGTTCATGACTTCAAGCTCCGCGTCGGGCTCTGTGCTGACAGCTCAGAGCCTGGAGCCTGCTTCGGATTCTGTGTCTCCCACTCTCTGCCCCTCCCACACTCACATTCTGTCTCTCTCTTTCTCTCTCTCTCCCAAAAATGAACAGTTAGAAAATTAAAAAAAAAACACAAACCTAAACACACGTTTCTTTGACATCCCAATTAAAAGAACACAGAAAGGAGAGGTGGGGCTCAGTGGTGATTTTCTTTCATCTCGCTGCCTGATTCCTTTCACATTAGGGTGATGTCTTTGGGAATTCTGGACACATGTTAATTTCCATGGCTAATAGAATGTGTAGTCACTGGCTAGTGGGAGTTAATGCTCGAAGAAAAGCAGTGATTAAGCTTCCAGCTGTCAGTAAGTAGCTTAACTTCTCAGCCTTTGGGAAAATCGTCCCCTTGATTTGATGTGTTGGATGGAGCCAGATGCTGGAATGGAGGGCTTGCTCATTTAAACGCAGAGTTGATTATTTAACAGGGCTTGCTTTGCCGCTGTGTCAAATTGTAGGTTGCAACCGTACTGCCCTTGTGTAAAGGAAGAACCTGCCCTGACCCAGAGCAGGCTGGGCTGCTCTTTCTGGAGTGCTATAAGCTTATTTTCTCAATGGCGGCCATTCCCTTCTTGACCTCAGGCTCTGACCATGGCCGCTGGCAGGCACTTTCCTTTCCATCACACTTGACCTTAGGGACTAAGATCAGGTGTAATATTTTCCTTCAGGTTCTCACTTACTTGTATGATTGGTAGCTGGCCTGGCAGAAGCAGGCCACCCCACCTTGGGAGGACTTCGGGGTGGAGAGAGGACTTCCCCCTCAAGGAAAGCAGAGAGTAAAGGTTGCGGTGAGAAGATGTGGGGGGCTAGAGGCAAGAAAGAGTCCCCATTGCCTACTTTGCAAAATGGTTTTCTTTTTATGTTTTTAAACACTTACTCATTTTTTTTTTGAGAGACAGAGACAGTGCAAGCACGGGAGGGACAGAGAGAGAGGGAGACACAGAATCCAAGGCAGGCTCCAGGCTCTGAGCTGTCAGCCCAGAGCCCGACGTGGGGCTCGAACTCACAGAGTGTGAGATCATGACCTGAGCCAAAGTCGGATGCTTAACTGACTGAGCCACCCAGGCGCCCCTGCGAAACCACTAAAATTATGGCAGTTTTTCTTCTGTCAAGCTGTTTGCATTGGGTCACTTGTTGGTCCTTCCTTTCCTGCCTTGCCTGTCACTTTCTCTCACACACGCACGGTGGCCACTAGGCAGGCACCCTTGGATTGTCCTGGGCAGAGGTGTGGTGAGGGGAGCTCAGGGTGAGAAACCAGGCCTGAGAACTGATTCCTTGTGACATGTTCTTGGCCCTCCTGAGGTCCCGGATTGTTCCCAGTCTTTCAGGGCTCCTGGATCTTTCCTGTGTGAGTTCCTTGGGCCTGAATTTATTTATATGATTTTAGTGTCCTTCTATTGACCGAGTTGGGGCTGAGGTGGAGCGCTATTTTACGTCCCTCTCACCCCTATTATTTCTGGATCTCACACCCAAGAGCTGAAGTTATATCCCAGCTGGAACTTTCTGTGCCCTCCACGCGGACCTAACGACTATGTCTGTTCTCTCTCGACATAGCTGCTTTGCAGACTGCTGGCAGCAAGTTTATTGTTAGTCCTGGCCAGTGGTCAGATGAGAGGCCGTGTCTGTTTTGTTCATCACTGATGTAGTACCCAGCATGCTGCTCGGTGCTTGATCCAGAGCAAGCGTACAATAGTTGAATGAATGCCATCTTCGCCTGTCTAGTTTAGAAAGCATAGGCCAGTCGATTATTTTTGGTGGGGTAGGGGGTGTTAAATGATCGGTATTTTCATTGTCAACTCTCAGCTCTCTGCATGGCTTGATGGTGAGCCACCAGGTTCCAAGGTCAGTGGTGTTAGCTCGAGGCTCTAGGTCAGAGGCGGATGAGGTCGGCCACCCCATGGAAGCGTTTCTCAAATGGCGGTCTTAGGAGCACGCACGGCACCGTCACGCAGGGGCACGTATTCCAAATGCAGATGGCAGGACCCAAATGCATTATTTTCTGAGCATTCCTAGGCTGCCGAAGAATCTCCAACATTCGAGAAGCTCTTCCCTGAGGCCTTCTGTCTGCAGATGCTTTCGATAATAGTCCATTGTGTTGTCCAAGGAACATTGTAGATTGGATGGGTTGATGAGGGAAGAAACACAACTGGCAGTGGATGATAAAATGAGTATTTTCTTCCTTTGAATTCCTTCCTTCTTACTACATTAGACTGTTGAGCCATGCGGATAAACAACATTGGACTTGGTTGGATAACCCTATCAGTGGGAGTGTTGAGGTCTGCAAGTATAACTTCTTTTTATTTATTTATTTATTTATTTTCAACGTTTATTTATTTTTGGGACAGAGAGAGACAGAGCATGAACGGGGGAGGGGCAGAGAGAGAGGGAGACACAGAATCGGAAACAGGCTCCAGGCCCTGAGCCATCAGCCCAGAGCCCGACGCGGGGCTCGAACTCACGGACCGCGAGATCGTGACCTGGCTGAAGTCGGACGCTTAACCGACTGCGCCACCCAGGCGCCCCTGCAAGTATAACTTCTTATCTGGGGTGTACTTAGCACTCGGGCTGCCTGGGTGTGGGGAATTCTGAGTGACCTTAATATTAAACTGATTCAAATCAAATCACGGAGCTAATTGGAAAACCACAGAAAATTGGTCTTGGATGATTAACTCTCTTGCTTTTCTCCAGTACCATGAATGGTTACAATTCTCTGCCAGTTAGCTTTTTAGAACACGTGGGGACAGCCATCTGGATTCTGGACTGAAGCTGGTATCTGACTCTTCAGCATCCCCTGGTGCCCTGTTGGCCTGGATCTTACGTCATATGTGCTTTTGGTCTGATGCCCTTTGATGTATGTATTTTTATAGTTTACGTATTTATTTTATTTTTTCATTTATTTTTGAGAGAGACAGAGACAGTGTGAGCAGGGGAGGGGCAGAGAGAGAGGGAGAGAGAGAAAATCCCAAGCAGGCTCTGTGCTGTCAGCGCAGAGCCCGATATGGGGTTCCAGCTCAGGAAACCGTGAGATCGTGAGCTGAGCTGAAACCAAGAGTCGGGACGCTTAACCGACTGAGCCACCCAGGTGCCCCTCCTTTCATATCTTTTTTAACCTAAGTTTAATTTTTATTCCTTGTTTTTTGGCGCAAAGTTCACTTACTTGTCTTCATAGTCCACCTCACAATGATAGGCCGTTAAAGCAGCATCGAGATACTTCTGCAAACCAACTTCGGTTTGTTAACTTGGCAATCTGTAGCTGTTAGGTTCTTGCTGGTAGATATCAACAGTTGCCAGAATGTCGGAGGTGGGTGACAGCTAGCTGCTCCTCTGTAGGTTCACCACCAGTTTACCATGGTCCAAGCCAGGTTCAGACCTTTCTGGCACATATGTGTATCAGTAAGCAAAGACCCACTCTGTATGGGCTTGATGGTATTTCCTCTGTTCTTACAGGTGATGCAGACACAATGTTCTAGAGCAGGGATTGGCAAACTATGGCCCTTCCCTTGTTTTTGTCAATAAAGTTTTATTGAAACAGCTATTTCATTTGCCCCCATGTTGTCTGTCACTGCTTTCATGTTACAGTGGCAGAACTGAATAGTTGCATGGAGGCAGGATGGCATACAAAGTCTAAAATATTTCTCTATGGATCTTTACAGAAAACCGACCCTTGTTGTGGAGGCAAGATTCTGTTACCCTTTGAGTTGGCATCAGGCAACTGGAATCCTCTAGCTTGATAAGTCATAGGCATTACCCCTAAAAGTTTAGGTTACGGGCCTCCTTAAATTGTTATGTCCTGTTCATGCCAACGTATATATCTTTAGGATATTATCGCCAATTCAAATATCTTGCATGCTGCTGATCTCCCAAGACAGCTCATTTGTACTTTCGCTATTCTGACCAACCAACCACTAATTTCAGTATTCGAAACCAGTTTCTAATGCTCATTATGCTAATTTAAAGTCTCTAAGGATGATAGAGATAATGAGAAAACTTAGGAATTGTCTCAGGATTGTGGGCTTCTCTATGAGAAGTTAGCTGACCATAGTTGCAGCGTGAATTTTAGGATAACTGTCCAAAACCAAGCTATCGACAAATTAATTTAATCGTAACATTACTTCAGTGCGCGTAAACATAACGCTAGGTATAAGCACTTAATGCTTCTAACTTAAGCGCGGCAGTAAAACCCAAACACATTTACAGATTGTAAATAAAACTATAATACCAAGAAGTTTAAAATTAATTTTTATAACACCTTTATTGAGATATAATTCTATGCCATAAAATTCCCCCTTTTAAAATGTACAGGTTGTCAGTATATTCACAAGGCTGGGTAATGCTTATTGTTACCTGATTCCAGAACAGTTTCATCACCCTCTTACCCCCATTCTATTCTCCTTGCCTCCCAGCCTCTGGCAGCCACATATCTATTTCCTGCCTTACAGAATTGCCTGTTCTGAACTTTTTTTTTAAGTTTTATTTTTATTTATTTGAGAGAGACAGCGCGAGTGGGGGAGGGTGGAGAACTCCGACCAGGTTCCCTGGAAAGCCTGAAGCTCGAATTCATGAAAC